GGAACCAGATGGGCCTAGTTCCTGCCCCCGTGGAGCTCACAGCATAGGGGGTCACATGACGTCTCCCCCAAAATTAAAAGGAGGAGGGGCCTGCAAATGGGAAGTGTTAAGGTGGAACAGGGTAGGTCTCTGAGGATCCCTCCCACCCCTATGTGGTTCTAGGTTCTTTAGATGATTTAATCGGTTTTATCTTCTCAAATGCCGTGCTTTGGTCCAGTTGAAATGTCCCCATTCCTTTAGGAGAGACAGGGACTAGCCTCAGACAGACTGATAGATCTGTCACATGAGACAGGCCCAAGGCAATGTTGGCTGGGTCCTGCTCTGCAATTCCTGTGGGGGAGGCACCCTTCCCACCTGAGGCTCCAGGTGATAGGAATGCTAGGTCGGATAGGCAGACTCTCTCAAGAGTAGCAACAGGGCCCAGCAACCCATGCTGGGCCTGGAGTCCCCACTGAAGTTGCCAACAGAGGTCATGAATGAGTGACACAGAGATGCTTTATCTGAAGTGACCGCCATGTGGGCACAGGCACGTGGACACGGGGATTCCACCCATGGGCTGGCAGTCCTGGGACATCTCTCAGTGCTGGCTCCTAGGCCCCAGGTGGCCCCTAGGTTGGACTTGCCCAGCTCCAGCTTCATGTTGTTCCCCAGCAGTTTAATGAGCAGAAATGAGGGCCCTTGTGCACAAAGCATGTGGACATATACCTCAGCACCCCTGCCCTCAAAATGGTCCCAGGCATTTGAAGGATGGAGACAAGTAAAAGCTGAGGACAAGAGAGGTGTTTTCCGACAGCTGATCCCACAGAAGCCTACTATAAAGGGGAGGGTCCAGCTCTGTTGTGAGGGTGGGAGGTACAGATGAAGGCCGTCAAGTTCAGACTTCCAGGAAGAGCTTACCGGGCAGGTGTAAAGGGGTGGAGGCATGAGAGCACAAGGCAAGTTTGGTGTGGCTGGAGGCAGCCAGTACTTGGAAACCTGGCAGAAGGCATGGCCTGGAGACCAGGGGTCACAGAGTCTAGAGATGGCCATGGTAGAGCTGTCTCTCTTGACCTGGTGACACAGGGGTGGGTGTTGAGGGTGACGGAGTGCAGGTTTAATAACTGGGTGCACAGTGAGGCGTGCAGCAGAAGGCAGAGGGGACTGGGTGAGGGAAGCCGACTTTGGACTTGATGAGCTTGTGTGAGGGCCACACAAGGAGAGGTGCCCAGGAGGGATTTCCGCTTTAGGGTCTTGGCTCTGGAGCTGGAAGCCCAGGATGAGGCCACCCAGGGAGTGTCCTGTATGAGAAGAGGCCCAGTGACAGCTCTGAGAACTCCATCCTGCAGGGGTGAGAGGAGCCCCCAGTGGGGACTGGGGAGGAGAAGGAGAGCAAGAGGTCTTGGAAGCCCAGGGCAAGAATGGCCAGGTGGGAGCTGTTAGCAAGCGAAGGGTGGGAAAGGGCCCACGGGAGTTAGCCAGAAGGATGGCCCTCAGTGAGGAGACCAAAGTGTAGCTGTTGGGGTGGTAGAGGAGGGGCTGGCAAAGGTAGGGACATGTTTCAAGAAGCATGGCTGCATAATATGTCATGGTGCTATGAGAAAGGCCTGACCTGTTTTCTAGAGTGTGTGGTGGGAAGGTGCTTATTTCCAGATCCCTGATGAAGGAGGAGGTGATTCAGCACATGCTCTGGGGTGAGCAAGGGGGGAGGAAGTGGGCTCATCCCCCTAACAGCTTAAGGGACTCTGCCAGAATAGGGGGCTGGTGAGATGGGGAAATGTCATTCCAGAGGGATGAGGCCTCAGACTTCAGCATGGTATTCTGGGGAACTTGGAGAGCTGTGCTGGCCCAGGGTGGCGCCTTCAGCCTCTCCTTTCCCCCTCCGTGCTCCGTGGTGATGCCCTGCCACCCACCTCTATTCTGCAGACCAACATCCCCTTCCTGCAGAATGTGCTCAACAACCAGCAGTTCCTGGCCGGCACCGTGGACACCCAGTTCATCGATGAGAACCCGGAGCTATTCCAGCTGCGGCCTGCACAGAACCGGGCCCAGAAGCTGCTGCACTACCTCGGTCTGGCCCCAAGACTGCCCTTCTCTCCTCTCTCAAATGCCTCGCTCCTGGCCCCCTGCCTAGAAGAGCTTCCCAGCATGCCCTGTCCCTGTCCTCATTCTGGTCCTGCACCCTCCCACCTTGCTCACCCTCCCTGCTCCTGATCACAGGGATGCCCCCTTCTCCACCCATGCAGCCCTTAGTAGGTTCCCACTGCCTGGACCCAGGAGGCCTTGGCTTTGGAGAGGGCAGGGGTTAACTAGAGGACTTGGGATCCTGGAGGAACCTCTCATCCCCAGGCCCATCTAAATGTTACTCCTGCGCTCAACTCAAGACTCTTCCCCAGCCTGTCCTGACTCCACTTCCCACTCTCTCCCTAGGTCATGTCATGGTGAACGGCCCAACCACCCCGATCCCCGTCAAGGCCAGTCCCAGCCCCACAGACCCCATTGTCCCTGCAGTGCCCATAGGTAGGTGAGCTCATTCTACCAACTTGTGGGGGAGGCAAAGAGGAGGTTGCTGCCTGAAGGATGGGTGCTAATGCCCGGGTCTGCCCTAGGCCCACCCCCAGCTGGTTTCAGAGACATCCTGCTGCGGGAGGGGCCCGAGGGCTTCGCTCGAGCTGTGCGGAACCACCAGGGGCTGCTGCTGATGGACACGACCTTCCGGGATGCCCACCAGTCACTGCTGGCCACTCGTGTGCGAACCCACGATCTCAAAAAGATTGCTCCCTATGTTGCTCACAACTTGAGCAAACTCTTCAGCATAGAGAACTGGGGAGGTAGGCTGGAGGAGGGCTGGAATGTGGGACTGCGCCTGGAAGGAATTGGGTATCCAGTGTGGCCCCACCACTGGCCACTCCAGGAGCAGCTAAAATGTTTACATTGAGGAAACTAGTGAGAAGCAAACAAGGCATGGTGTTCCATTTGTTCAGCAGTGACTCGTGCCCACTTTGGGCAGGCCTGGTTGCTGGGCATGAGATTGCATAGCTGAGATCCCAGTAGCTCAGGGTCAGAGAGGAGCCACGAGCCTGTTCTAGCATGGAGAACTGGTGGCAGGGTGGTACCCTGTGAAAGGGGGCAAGAGGACGCTGATCCTGAGCTACCCTCAGCAGAGGGAAGTCTCCAGGGGTTGGAACAGGAATGTGAAGGATCCTGGAGATGAGTGCGAGGGTGTCCGGATTAGAGGCTCAGGCTGCAGAGCTGCAGGGTGTGGCGGGGGCCCGGGGAAGTGAGGGGCTGACCTGGGCCTCTTGGTCCCCGTGCAGGAGCCACGTTTGATGTTGCCATGCGCTTCCTGTATGAGTGCCCCTGGCGGCGGCTGCAGGAGCTCCGAGAGCTCATCCCCAACATCCCGTTCCAGATGCTGCTGCGGGGCGCCAACGCCGTGGGCTACACCAACTACCCCGACAATGTGGTCTTCAAGTGAGCCTGGGGTCGGGTGGGCAGACGCTGCACAGCATGGTCCAGTGGGTGCCAGGCCACACTGCAGTGGCCTGCGCTTTCCCACAGAGAGCTTGACACTTAAGTCTCTCAGTAGCTGTATCCAGTGAGAGCTGCTATCTGGAAATTTCATGAAGTGCAGAATTCTAGTTGGAGAACTGAAGAACTTCTAGCTCATGGGGCAGAAGCCTCAGGACTCCTTGTCCAGTGTTCCTTCTCCCTCAGACCACCACTCTTGCAAAGAATCCCTAGCTGATTCTTCTGACCTGGGCAGACTGAGCTGCACTGTACATGACTAGGGCAGGACAGCACTGCTCCATGCCAGATGCCTCTGAGGGGACCTGCCCAGCCCAGGCTGCCCCAGAGAAGGCCTTGTCCACACTGGGGTGCCCCCACATGGGCTCACCACTCTCCCTGCCCGGTCAGAGCCAGAGAGGGATGTACAGGGGAGAGTGGGATGGGGTTGACCCTTGGGCTTCTACCCACTCAGGTTCTGTGAGGTGGCCAAAGAGAACGGCATGGATGTCTTCCGGGTTTTTGACTCCCTCAACTACATGCCCAATCTGCTACTGGGCATGGAGGCAGCCGGCAATGCTGGCGGTGTGGTGGAGGCCGCCATCTCCTACACGGGTGACGTGGCTGACCCCAGCCGCACCAAATACTCACTGCAGTACTACATGGGCCTGGCTGAAGAGTTGGTTCGAGCTGGCACCCACATCTTGTGCATCAAGGTGCCTGGACCCACCTGTCCCAGGAGTCCCCCTGCCCCTTCCCCACCTCTCCCAGCTTCCCCTTCTCCCCCACTATGTCCCCCTCATATGCCCTACCACATACGTGTCACACCCCCTCCTTACCCGACCATGTCTCTCTTCTTGCCCCAGGACATGGCAGGGCTGCTAAAGCCAGTGGCCTGCACCATGCTGGTCAGGTCCCTCAGGGACCGCTTCCCTGACCTCCCGCTGCACATCCACACCCACGACACATCAGGGGCAGGTGTGGCAGCTATGCTGGCCTGTGCCCAGGCTGGGGCCGATGTGGTAGATGTGGCAGCTGATTCCATGTCCGGGATGACTTCACAGCCCAGCATGGGGGCCCTGGTGGCCTGCACCCGAGGGACTCCCATGGACACAGGTAGGAATGGCAGGAGTCCATGGCCATTTCCCTCACAGCCATGGCCCGTAGTAGTAGTCCCAGTAGAGTCTGGCCTGTCCTAGAATCCAGATGATCTTTGCTGGCCTTACCCTCCATCACCCACATCTGAGATGGGACCTGAGCTGGCTCTGGGGTCCTGGGAGGAGCACCTGGGAACTTGGCATATTTTCCTGGCCTCCCTGCAGGGGTGCCCCTGGAGCGTGTGTTTGACTACAGTGAGTACTGGGAGGGGGCCCGGGGATTGTATGCGGCCTTTGACTGCACGGCCACCATGAAGTCTGGCAATTCGGATGTGTATGAGAATGAGATCCCAGGGGGCCAGTACACCAACCTGCACTTCCAGGCACACAGCATGGGGCTTGGCTCCAAGTTCAAGGAGGTCAAGAAGGCCTACGTGGAGGCCAACCAGATGCTGGGCGACCTCATCAAGGTGAGCTAGGCCCAGTGATCTCATCCCTGCCTCTGAACCTCCTATAAGGTACCAAGCATCCTAACCCAGGGGGCTTTTCTTCTCAGGTGACACCGTCCTCCAAGATCGTGGGGGACCTGGCCCAGTTCATGGTGCAGAATGGGCTGAGCCGGGCAGAGGCTGAAGCCCAAGCAGAAGAGCTGTCCTTCCCCCGCTCCGTGGTAGAGTTCCTGCAGGGCTACATTGGCATTCCCCACGGGGGGTTCCCTGAGCCCCTTCGCTCTAAGGTAGGAAGGCCCAGTACAGTGTGAGGGTGGGGGTTGGGTACAGGCATTAGGCCTGACCCTGCTTTGCTCCCCAGGTGCTAAAGGACCTGCCAAGGGTTGAGGGGCGGCCCGGAGCCTCCCTCCCTCCACTGGATCTGCAGTTGCTGGAGAAGGAGCTGATTGAACGGCACGGGGAGGAGGTGACACCAGAGGATGTGCTCTCAGCAGCCATATACCCCGATGTCTTTGCACACTTCAAGGACTTCACAGCTACTTTTGGCCCCCTGGATAGCCTCAATACCCGCCTCTTCCTGCAGGGACCCAAAATTGCAGAGGAGTTTGAGGTCAGTGGCTCTGGCACCTATCTACGCCCCACCCCAGCACCCCTGCCCCTGCATCCCTAAGGACACCAGCACATCTAGAGCTCCAGGCTTTGGCTTGGCTGTCACTTGGCCTCACAAGCTGTACCCAAAAGCACTCTTGAGGAACCAGGTTAGGCCTTTACAAGTGAGGAGCTGAGACCCAGGGCTGGGGGACTTGCCTGGGACAGGGTCAGGGGGCTGTTCTACTGAGACCTGTGTGTTCTGTTGCCCGCCCCACCCCCTCCCGCCTCACCAGCTCTGAGCCTGCATGCCCTCCCTACAGGTGGAGCTGGAGCGGGGCAAGACACTGCACATCAAAGCCCTGGCTATAAGTGACCTGAACCGGGCTGGCCAGAGGCAGGTCTTCTTTGAGCTCAATGGACAGCTGCGGTCCATTCTGGTCAAGGACACTCAGGCCATGAAGGTATAGCCCTGCTAGGGCCAACCAGGCGGTGGGAACAGGTAGGGCCTGTGCCTCACCACTCCTCCTTCTGTCCTGTCTGCAGGAGATGCACTTCCACCCCAAGGCTCTGAAGGATGTGAAGGGCCAGATCGGGGCGCCCATGCCTGGGAAGGTGATAGACATCAAGGTAGCAGCTGGGGGCAAGGTGGCCAAGGGCCAGCCCCTGTGTGTGCTCAGCGCCATGAAGATGGAGACTGTAGTGACTTCACCCATGGAGGGCACTGTCCGCAAGGTCCACGTAACCACAGACATGACACTGGAGGGCGATGACCTCATCCTGGAGATTGAGTGATCTTGCCCCAGATTGGCAGCCTGGCCATACCCACCCCAAGCCTTCAATAGACACTGAGCTGCCAGGGCAGGCCCAGGCCAGCCAGTGCCCAAGGGCAGAAAGGCCTAGCCCTGGAGCTCCTGTCCTCAGCTGCTTGTGGCAGGAGACGCACTGCCTGCTGTGGCACATTCCCTTCCTCCAGCCATCTGTCTTTTCCCTGCTGGACAGCTGCTCACATATTCATCTCTTGCCAAATAAGGGTCCTCAACTTGGAGACTACAGGTGGTGGTGTAGGTGGGCCTAAGACCCAGGGGAGCAAATTTAGGGGTCCTACCTCTTGGGGGAAGAGCTAGGCTCCAAGTCCTGAGAATTTTGCTCAATAAAACTGGCTTCCCCTGCCCTTCATGTTGGGTCCTGTGCAGCCCCCGCCTCCCCCCCCACCCCAGCACTACTCAGCATAGGGGCAGGGCTGCCTCTTGGGACTCCCCATGGCAGGGGCAGGTCGGTTGTATCCTCCTTGGAGGGTAGGGGAGAATAGTAGTGGCCTTGGTTTCAGCCACTATAGAGTGCCTATGGTATATACACCCCAATTAGGATTAGCTAGTTGCATGGAGAGCCTGGACAAGGGTGTGTTGTCCTACGCATTTAACACCCATTAACTCAGGGAATCAATCACATTTTGTGGACACAAATGGGAGTCCCAGGAAGGTTAAATAGCTTATCCAGGACCCCAGAGCTAGTAAGAGGCAGAGGAGGGTCCACACCCAAGCTGTCAGTGGAGTTGCTTTGCTTCCAGCCACACTGCTTTACTTCCTAAACTCAGGGCCAGCCTGCTACTTCAATAGTTCAGGACTGGATGTGAACAGGCACCAGTTTCCGGGAGATGGGGAAAAAACCCTTGGATGTGGGAGCCTTTGGGGGAGGATATTAGTGGGAGGTCAGCACTGGATTGAGAGTCTCAAGATCTAATCCCGCCCATCCCCATAAGCAAACTCTCAGGAGAATCTGTCACCTGCAGGGGGTTTGGCAACCCTGCATGCATCACTGCATTGCTACCCACCCCCAACCTCCACAGGGGAGGTGACGATGGTGAGGTGAAATGGGGGTGCTGCGTAGTTCTGAGCAGTAGCATGAGGAAGGGGAGGAGCAGAGCTTGGATCTCCCAACCTTCAGGGGACCAGGCAGGCAGTATGTCCCCAGCACTCTGCCAACCCAGTGCTCCTCAGGTACCACAACCTAATTTGGGGGGCAGCTTTGGGCTTCCTCCTCTTTGGACACCAAGATCCCAAAGGTACCCTCTGAAACAGCCCCATACTCACCCCATACCCTATCTGCCTCCCCAACAGCTGCTACACAGGCTGGGAGGACAGGAAGGCTCTCCACAGCAAGGCAGGTGTGTGACTATCAAGATGATTTTTTAGATCCAGATGAATGTCGTTTAGTCACAGCCAAACTGGGGGTGCCTGGGGAGTGACTGCACATCCATTTCCTTTCAACCACCAGCCTCAGGGAACAAGACTTGGGACAGCCTCCTTGAGTTTAGAGTGGGACCTGAAAGTATATCCTTTCAAAAATTAAAAAATCCCAGGGGCAAGGGAATGAAAATATGAGAACCATTCTAAAAAGGTGATGGGCAGGTACAACACTAGAAGAGTCTAAGAAAGAATCTTGACTTACAGTGTTGTTTGGCAGGGTCCTTGCTGTTCTCAGGGCTGCAGCCTTTGTTCTGAGTTCCTCTAGGGACGAGACAAGCAGCACGGTGGCAGAGACCCAAGGCAGAGAGAGCTAGGAAAGCCTCTACTACCCAGGTGACCGTGAGCTGGTTCCTCTACCATTTTGGACCTGTTATTTTCTCCTGTGTAATGTGAGGCTGGTAGACTTTGGGGAGGTCCTGGTAGAGGCCCCACAGTTGACCCTCCGCTCTCTCAGAGGATACAGGTTGGAGACTCCATCACTGAGGTCATGGCCCTACGTTCCATCCCCTGACCCTAGTAGCTAAGGCACAGGCCCCAAGGATGAGCTGAGTTCACACCTGGTACCTGCAGTCCCAGAACCCCATGTGCTACAACTTGGGGCATGGCTAAGAAAGGAGGAAGGCAGCCAGAGGACCCCATCCTGTCCTTCACTTCAGGGAACTGTGCCTCCCAGGCTGACCCACCCAGTGGCCAGTGTCCAAGGTAGCCAAGACAGGTTGTGGGCACATTCACAAGACCCCAAACAGATTGATTCTCAAAAGGTCCAAGGCCATGTTACCCAAGTTAAATCTCTTTAGTATCTCAATACAAAGTCCTGATGCAAAAAGACAATGAGAAAACCCTGGGAAGTTGGGGGGAGGGATTTTGTAAATTCCACCCCCGAGCAGCTTTTCAGAGGCAGAGGGGGGCAGAGGAGCTCAGAAAAGCAGCAGTCCAAAGTGAGGAAGGGAGTGTACGGCTCCTGGGACCTGCCCCTTGTCCCCTCACTCCCAGCTGCTCCTCAACCCCCTTTGGAGAGGGGTTGCACCCTTTGGATATCTGCTCCTTTCTCTTGGTCCCTGGGATTCAACTAGCTCTGGCTTCAATCCCCTACAAAAATTCCTGAGATCTCGGGGACCCCAGCCAGCTCCTCCCCTGCAGTACCCCTTGACAGGGAGGGGCTGGGGAGCCCGTGAGAGTTCGTAGGAGCATGTACGGGAGCATGGGTCAGGAGCACAAGGGAGCCTCTGAGTCTCCTGCCCGTTCCAAAAGCACACAAAGGGGAAGGCTGCCGTAGAGCTTGGGGTCCGTGAGGGGCTGGAGCAGAAGCAGGAAGAGTCCTACACCCAGGGCATAGCCTGCCAGCAGGGGCCGCCTCTGCGGATGTTCCAGGGCTGCACAAACGGCAGGAAAGCCCATGTAATTGCAGAAGGAGTGGCAAAGAACTGGCCCAATCAGGTGTCCTAGGGAGGGGAGACAGAGTAGCTCATGGAGCAGCCCCACCGCCTCCCAGGGCCAATCACCCACATCCCTGAAATCGGAAGTCAATGACCGCCCACACACACCACATGGCCTCTGCTCCCTTCCACCTCTCAGACTTCACCAGACTGAGAGCCCTGGCTCTGCCTGTTTCAAACACCATAGTAGAAGAAACTTGTCACTCCTACAACAAACACAGCATTCCCGTATTCCCACCCACTCCTGTGGGCCCGAGTCCCCAGGGACCCGTGAGAGACTGAGGACCAACCTGTGCGGATGAAGAGGAAAGCAGTGTAGGCGCCGAAGACAGCTGTGTAGGAGAACTGGAACGCTGGAGACGGGGAGGCCTCGAGTGACCACACCTGCATGCTCTTCCAGTCCCAGCACTGCACACCCATCAGCCAGAAACCTCCCCTTCCCCGAGGGCAGTGGCTGCCTGCCCCAGCACCTATGGCTGTCCTCTACACCCCAACTCCCATGGCCAGGGGCCCTTCCAATACTACATCCCTCTGTTCCCAATTCTTCCTCCAGAATGGCTATGAGGGACACCCCTACACACCCTAACCCAGGACTGCCCCAGGCAAGCTTTCTAAGACTCACCTGCAGACAAGATGATGCTCCCCACACTGCTCTGGCGGAATCGAAGCTGCTCAAAAATGTGGTGAAAATGGGCTGGAAGGAAGGCGAGAACCATGTCACGTTCCTCTATGCCTGCCTTATATGCCACACCCTTGTCCCAAATCCCAATTTTGGCTCTCATGCTGGGAGCATCTCAACAGAACCAGGTTAGGCAAACTTACCAACTCCAAAGAAGAGTGGGCAGGTGAACACGGCAGGGCCCAGGCCCGTGCATGGTGCTAACATGGGCAGCATACAGGCCCGGAACACCAGTTCTTCTGTCAGGGGCGCAATCACTTGGTTCCGCAACCAACGCATATCCGTGAGGCAGCGGGCCCAGGAGCGAGGAGCTAAGGAAGGGATTCAGGACCAGTAATCAGTGACAGGGTATGGAACAAAGAACTCCTAGAGGCCCCAGGGGACCCTTCTCCCACAGCCTTTCCCTTGACAAACTCAGACATAAATACTCCTGAGGAAACATTTAAGAGTCAAGCTTTGTTATCACACGCAGTATAAAACAATGTCTCGAGAACTGAAAGAAAAGACATGAATAGCTGAAGCAAGGTATTTTGGTAGCAAATTCTGGAAACATCAAAACCAGAACCCAAGACCAGCTCTGGTTTGAGGAAGCCAAAGATTAGGGGAGGAAGTAACAACACATTTTAGTCCACACAAAGTACGCCTGGGGGTTCCTAGGAGCCTCCTTGGATTTCAGAAACCAACTCTTACAGGTCATCTGTTACATGTTCCCATTTTCCTGATCTGGAAACCAATAACATCTCCTACATCTCATGCATGTCCAGGACTCACTATGAGGCCACTTATTCCCTTTCCCCACTGTGCTGGGCTGCCTGCTTTTTCTCCCAGCCCTTAGGACTCACCTAAGACAACCTTCAAACCATCTGCCAGGTCACATGGGCAATCCATAGAGAGCTGCATCAGTGGGCCCAGGAAAAGGATCTGGGGACAAAAAAGCAATCACAGAAATAGCTTAAGCCACAGTCCCACTACCCTAACCCAGAAGAGAACTCATAAGACTTAAAGCTTCCTATTCTTAGCCAGGATGTCCCACTCAGGCATACCCAAGGGCCATCTCACAATTTCACCCATCAGTCAAAAGATGGACACGCACACACACAGAAAGGAACGTCATGCTAACAAATGGAAAAATAAAACAAGTACTCACCATGGTCAGCAGCAGGGGTAGCAGTGCTGCTGGGAAAATACCCTCCAGCCTGAAGCCCATCAGGGTGAGCAGGGATGTGCCTGGCTGAGCCACAGGAAAGGAGGCATCAGTCTTGCTCTCTCCTCAGACCCCTGAGATCCTCCCCCTCTTGCCCTCTGCCCCGCCTCCTTCGCACCTGGATGCCTGTGAGTTCTCTCCAGAGTAGCACGCACAGAGGCGAGAGGCTGGACACCACCAATACACTGGTGAAACGCCGCTTGATGACTGCAGGGTGGTCCCTACAGAGAGGGCAGTAAGTTCAAGGGCCCACAGCCTCCTCTGGACAGCGCGGCCCCGCCCCCGGATCGCCCAAGCCCCGCCCACAGCCCCGCCTCGCGGAGGCGCGGGTTCCGGCCGCGCGCGCAGCCCCCGCACCTGGGCAGCTCGCTCTTCCAGACGTAGAGGCTGCCCACGTAGGAGCAGGCGAGGCTAAGACAGGAGAACACAGACACCCAGCAGCACAGCCCAGGGCCCGGGCCGCCCAGAGCTGCTGACTCGGGCTGCCGCTCCGGCCGCGACACCGACAGCAGGCGCAGCCCATCCCCGCCCAGCGCCGCCATCGCGCCCGGAGCCGCGGCGCGCACCAGTGACGCGATCCCGCCGCTGCTCGACCCGCGCCTGCCGCAAGTGCAAGTGATGTCATCCGGCAGCGCGGGAGCCCCGCCCCTGACCCCGCCCCCGACACTGAAGCAGAAGCTGCGCGCGCGGAGCAGGTTTATTGAACAACAGACAGCACGCTGCCCCGGCAGCTACCGGGCGGGCGTGAGCGCATGGGGAGATCACCCTAGCTTAGGGCTCAGGGCCGGGATCCAGCCACTCGGATAGATTGGAGACCTCCTGCAGCCATAGCGAGTCCTGCGGGAGGAAAGGAAGCTCGGGGTGAGGACCCATCGGCAGCGGCCGTCTCCGCCTTCCCTCTGCTCCATCACCTGCGCGGCCCTCGCCCGGTTACCTCCAGGCCGCCCCCAGGGCTCGCCCTGCTTCCGCTAGGGGTCGGAAAGGCCCCTGCAGGCTCTGTGCGGCGCGCGGCGGCCTCTAATTGGCTCGGGGCCCTGGCTGAGTGGAAAGCCTGCGTCTCTTCCATGCCCCGCCGGAGGCTGCCCCTCTTGAGCCTCTTGTTTTCCACTTGCTCGCTGGTTCCTAGACGAAAACAAGCCCACTTACCTTACGCCCACGGCCCAGTGCTAGAAAGATCCTTGGGGCTGAAGACACCTGGGAGAAGGGAGGAGCTGGTCCCGGCTCTCTTAGCCCTCCCATCTCAAATTCCTTTCATCAGGTCTGTCTGGATCAAAACTCGGCAGCCCCGGTCCTACAGGGCGAGGCTGCAGATTGGTTTCCATCCTCACTTGGGTCTTGCACCCACTCATTCTTTATCTGCACAGATTCCTCATGGAGTCTGCACTATCCAGCTCCTCCCTCCCTGCCAAGCTGTGGTCCCCCTGCCTGAAAGTCAGCCTCACCCCTCCCTTCGTAGCTCACACTGCGTTGAGCAATGCCCACTGGCACCCTCCCTACCATTAACTGATGCACTTGTGCAAATTTAAAGGGAGTTTGGATCCATAAATTCTTTCTGAGCAGGTCCTGGGAATGTAGCTCAATGAACTGCTCCCTGGGTAAAACTCACTTATGCTAGAAGGGATTCAGAAGTGTGTACAAAGCCCAGGGATAGAACACGGAAAGAAGTTGTTAACCATTCCTAGAGGTGGAGAAAGGTTTCCCTGAGATGTCTCAGCTGGGTTTTAAAGGATAAAGAGAAATATGCCAGACCAACAAGGAAGAGGAAAGGAATTCCAGGTGGAAAGAGGCAAATACCCAAAGGCATTAATTAGTATCCTCCATAAAATGCAAACCGGGGGGGGGGGGGCTCCTAGGAGATGAATCTGAAGGGGTTAGTACGAATCAAAGAAGACTTAAGAACAGGGATTTTTACTGTAGAAAGTGGGCAGGGAAGAATTTTAATAAGCACTGGAGATACATTGTTAATTTGTATCTTAGAAAGATTATTCTGTCAAAGGTGTTGGCTAGAGTCAAATTAGAAGCAAGAAGACTTTAAGAACCCAGGAGAGGGAAGGCAGCAGGGATGGATGGATGGAGGCACCACTTCTGACACTAGGTGTCAGAAGTATATTCATGAGGCCATATCGACAGGTCTTGGCGACAGAATAGGAGGTGTGGTACATGATAATGAGTGGCATCTTAAGTGAATCTCATTTCAGATGTGAAAAACTGGGTAAGGAGTGGTGCTGTTAATCATGGTAGAGGTAACAATGGGACCTTCACATGGACCTGCCTAGTGAGCAGATAAATCTCCCATCTGGCACTCCAGAGAGGCCTGGGCTGGTCATGCCAACTGGGGAGTCTTGAGCCCAGATGTAAGGTTCAATGCCTGGGATGGAAGAGAGCAGCGAGGGAAGAAGTGCTATACAAGCACAGTTTAGGGGTGGCCAAAGGAAGGTAAAGAGAACGCTCAGAGGAAAGAATGACGTAAGTCACAATTTTACAGTGCTGAATTTTGTAAATAGTTCATGTATGGTAAAGATAAATGTACAATTTGGTAAATACAAAGCCTTCCCAAACAAGAGAGGCCACAGAAGAAGCAAGTGCCCTGGAGATTGGGAAGGAGAAAGGGAGAGCCAGATTGAGAACCCTGGCTGAGATGTGATGGAGAGAAATAAATGGAAGAAGTTCAAGATCATGGGAGATTTTCTTTTTAAGTAATAAGAGATTGCCCTGCTGAGAGGAAAGACCTCAGAAGGGAAACTGAAGGTGCAGAAGTGATGGCTGATGCAAGCAGATCCTGAGAAAGCAACAGGGCTAATGCCACCCCTGAGCCTAGCAGGGATGGATCCCCATGCTGATACAGTTTGGGCACTAAGTGTGAAGTAGGAGGCTAAGAAGGAGTCAGAGACTGGGTAGATTATTGAAAGAATGGAGTAGCTGCTGATGAGGCCAGAAAGACGACACAAAGGACCGATAGCTGGAGGCCACCAGTAAATGGACCATGGATGTATGGTGGCATCATCCAACTTTCAGTGATTTTCTTTAGCAGAACTGCCCATGTGGGTGGGACACAGGATTGATGGTGACTGGAGCTGCAACTTTGTAAAGCTGAGCAGCTCAAGCAGTCTTCTGGGGAGGCGGGGGGGGGGGGGGGAATGGTTCACCAGATAATAAATGCCTAGATTTTAAGGCTTATATTGCAGTGGAGAAAGCATAGGCTGAAATTCAGATTATTTTCCTGGAGAGCACTCTACCCAGCCTGAGTCTGGGTTGTCTCTTGTGAAAGGGGACTACTGCTGCCCATACCAAAGGGTCACTGTCAGAGGGGTCACTGGAAAAGCCTAGCATCCCCCTGGGTCCATAGAAGGTGCTGGATGGAACGTTAATTTCTCCCTTCTAAGGGAAGTACTTATTCTTTTACTCTTCACTACATAAATACTGACTTGAATGTGGTATACTTTCATTCTTTTAAATCTCCAAATCTTAATGTATAAAAATAGATTCTTTGCTTTATTATGACAGCCTTCACTGCAGGGTTCTTTCAGTAGCCAACAGCCCCCACAACATTTGAAACATGGTTCAACAGACAGAATGATTCAGGAATACCTCTCAGGCCTAAGTTTGGACATCATGCAGTATGTTGTGGTTGTGACCCTGGAAAGAGGAATTTTACCAACAAAGTATAGGTGCTGAAGTCAGTTCCCAAATTCCCACAAGCCCAGGCTCTGTTTTGTTTGATGGTGCATCCCTGCTAGTCTTGGCTCTGGAGCCAGACTGCCTGGGTTTGAATTCTGGTTCTGCCATTTACTAGCTGTGTGACCTTGGGTGAGTCTACTGACATCTCTGTAAATGTCTCAGTTTACCTGTAAAATGAGAATAGTAACACTACATCATAAGATTGTTTTCAGAATTAAGAGCAGGTGCCTGGCACCTGCACTATCAGTTTCAGGCACCTGTGGCTATGGTTATTTCCGGCCATACACACATCTCTCTGCCACTGCTGGCTCTGAAGGCTGTGTAAGTGTTGGAGGGAGAGGGGGGAAAAGACCAGTACAATCACCACCATATCACACACAATGACAACTCCCTATAACATACATCAAGATTGAGATGGTATTCTGTACCCAGGAGTAGCTTCCAGAGCCCCAGAGTAGTAACCAAAACCAGGGAGAACAGCAGTAATGAGAAAAGATGTGAAGGAACCAACTAGATTCAGGGCCCTGCCCCTTCATGTGCAGCTATCTTTAACTGTACAACGTTACTAGGAATTTCTAGTTCTATCATACCAACTTTGGGGAGGGAATGCCCCCCTGCTGCTCCAGAACACCCATAGTGGTGGTAGAAGCCGGCCAAGTCCCATGATTTTGCTATGGTGTGGAAGGTGTAGTTTGAAAGCTTGAAGCCAATGTACCTTACTTCTGAGCTTTGCTCCTAGGCTCACCTGAGAAGCTGATCCCTTACCTGTAAGGAGTTCTGGACTGCTGTTCTCATGTGCATCTTCTGTGCTCTGCTCTGCATTTTTCTCTGGGAGTAGCTGCTTTAAAAATTAGAAGTCCTAAGTGAGTTTTGCAGGAACATGAACAAGCTCCAGTGAGACAAGTGTGCCTGGTGGCTTTGTTGGCCTCACAGGGCTGCCCTCCCTTACCTGGAATTCCCTCTTCCTCCTTGCTCATGCGAGTCTCCCCTACCCAACCCCAATCATCAGGGCTTCCTTGTGTTAGAGCCTTTGCAGCTCATTCCAGGTACTCCAGGCATTTCCCACCTCTTCTGACCTCTGGTAACTTGCTTACCATCTGCCCCACTCCTTGGGCTCTGAAGATGCACTGCCTGCCCTTATTTATCATTTTTATGTGTGTCCCATTTTCCACATTTTAAATTCCTTGAAAGGTAAGGTTCGCTGTGACTGCATCATTTTATAGCTAGCACAGTGTCTTGCATAGAGGTAAGTGATCTACATATAACTGAAGTCAAACCTGGGAAGCCTGGCACATTTTGTCGTCCTCTGTAGCCTTTCAAAGTCCTGCCACACTTGGTTCAATTTGGATAGAGAAACAAAAGTTTCTCTAAGCTTACTAAGATCAGAACCCAATCCTAGCTTCTTGTTTTTCAAAAATACAAGTATTTAAAAACAGACACAGTCTTCATCAAAATTAAAAACTTTTGTGCTTCAAAGAACACAATAAAGAAAGTGAAAAATCAACCCACAAGAATGGGAGAAAATATTTGCAAATCATATCTGGTAAGGGAGTTGTATCCAGAATAAAGAACTCTTGTAATTCAATAACAAACAACCTAATTAAAAGTGGGTTTGATAGAGTTGGAGACCTTCCTCCAAAGAAGAGATACAAATGGCCAATAAACCAATGAAAAGATGCTCAACATCATTATTCATTAGGGAAATGCAAATCAAAGCCACTATGAGATACTACTTTACACCCACTAGGATGGTAGTAGTAATAGTAATAAAATAACAACAATAATAATAGACAATATCAATAGTTGGTGACAATATAGAAAATTGGAACCGCTACACATTACTGTTGGGTAAGTAAAATGGCCAGTTTGGAAAATAGTTTGAAAGTTACTAAAAATGTTAAACATAGAGTTACCATATGACCCAGCAATTCTACTACTAGATATATAACCAAGAGATTTACAAACATGTCCATCCAAAAATGTTCACAGCATTATTTATAATCGCCCAAAAGTGCAAATAACATAAAGGTTCATCAACTGATGAATGGGTAGAAGAAATATGGCACATCCATACAAAAGGATATTACTCAACCATAAAAAGGAATGAAGTACCATCCCATGTTACAACATGAATCTTGAAAACATTATGCTTAGTGAAAGAAGCCAGACTACCTATTTTGATTCCATTTACGTGAACCAGTATAGGAAAATCCATGGAGACAAAGTAGACTGGTGGTTGCCAGGAGATGGAAGGTGGGGGAATTGGGACTGACTACAAATAGGTACAGGGTTTTTTTCTGGCATGATGGAAATATTGTGGAATTTAGTGGTAACTGTTGCACAGCACAGTGATTATATTTAAAGCCACTAAATTGTACAACTTAAAATGGTAAATTTTATGGTGACTTATAACTCAATAAAAAATACTGTCATGTATTGTTCATTAAATAAAACTTCAACTTCTAAGTACATTCCAAGGAACACAGAATGGTAAAGATGACCCTAACGGTGTGAAAAAAGAAACTGTATGAAGAAAATTTCAATTTTTTTCTTCGAGAGAAAGCTTTTTTTTTTAAAAAATGTTTATTTGTGTGTGTGTGTGTGTGTGAGAGAGAGAGGGGGAGAGAGAGAGAGAGAGACAGAGACAGAGACAGCGAGACAGCACTACTGGGGAAGGGGCAGAAAGGGAGACACAGAATCTGAAGCAGGCTCCAGGCTCTGAACTGTCAGCACAGAGCCCGATGCTGGGCTCAAACCCACAAACCATGAGATCATGACCTAAGCCAAAGTTGGACGCTTAACCAACTGACCCACCCACATGCCCCAAGAGAAATCTTATTTTCTTACTTCATTCTTCCCTGAAAAATCTCATGTAAAACTTTCTCTTATTCTGAAACTAATATCACCAAGGAAATTCACACTCAGATATAAAGCTCTCAGACCTAGGGGAATCTTGTATACCCTTCATTCATCATCAGATTCCCCCAAATGAGACAGCTCTATCTTCAGGATACACCTCCCTGGATTTAACACTGTGAGACATTTAATTCCCCTCCCTGCCTCGGGAAACAGTACCTTTCCTGAGAAAATTACCTCCTTGTCACTGCTCTTATTATGGGTTTATGTTTTCAGTCACTACAGACATCTGTGACACTAGCCCTGGAGAACTATCTTGTTTATCCTTTATGGCCCACTGTCCTATGTTCCAACACCCAAGCTATAAATCTCCACTCCTGGCATGGCCTTTTCTTAAATATTTTCTATAAAACTCTAAATACATATTCTCTCATTTCTTCTACTTCTCCATAAACTATATAACAGCCATAGATGGTTTTATTCTATATTATTCAAGAGGTCAGCTATTCTACTTTATCAGTTTAAAAATGGAAACTGGGGAGGTGCCTGGGTGGCTCAGTCAGTTGAACAACTGACTCTTGGTTTCAGCTCAAGTCATGATCTCATGGTTCATGGATTTGAGCCCCGCGTCAGGCTCTGAGCTGACAGCACAGAGCCTGCTTGGGATTCTCTATCTCTTCCCCAACCCCCCCCCCCCTTCAAATATAAATAAATAAACATTTAAAGAAATAAAAATAGAAACTGAGGGACTGGTCCAGAGGTAAAAGAATTTGACCCTTGTAATTTTTAGCTGAAGCCACTGGGTGCCACTCTTGTGCCACTATCAAGTTATTTATCACCAAGGGGATATTATAAGAAGGAAATAGTAATGGTCTTAAGTGCAGAAGCACAAGTTTTACTCATGAGTGCCTCTGATCACTCATCTTCCCTGGGTTATATGGTATGGAACATTCCTATACCAGTCCTATATGGTAACAATGTTACTAGGCTTTGGAACCAGGAGACCTCAGTACAAAGCCTAGCCTTGCCACTTATTAACTATGTGATTCTGGGCAAATAAGGAAAGTTCTCTAACCAGTTTCTTCATTTATAAAATGGGAAAACTACAACATATTTTGTAGGATCTTTGTGGTATTAAAGTGGAAGTCTTGGCACAGATTAAGGATCCAATAAATGTTCCTTTCTTCTAAGACCTAGGACTACTAAGACCTTGAGTTCACTAGCCATCTGCCAAATTAATTGGACTATGAATGGCCCAGAGGCTATAAGCCATCACTATAACAACAGAAGGGGGCAAAAGAGGTCAGATCATTTCCTTCTGAGAGATCACTGGGATATCAGAGAGGCCCAAGCAAAACGTCTTCACAGGCTGAAACACTTCTAGATCCTATCCATATATCCTAGGTCCTATGATAATGATGTATGCCTTACCCTGAAATCTAGGGTAAATTTCCTTATCCCTGGAAATCTGAAGATGTGGATGGATGTAATGAGCGGAACAATGGCTCCCAAAAAAGTATGTCCAAGTCTTGAGCCCCAGAATGTGACCTTATTTTGAAAAAAAGTCTTTTCAAATGTAATTAAGGATTTCAAGATAAGATCATCATGGATTTAAAGTGGGCCCTAATTCTTTTTTTTTTTTTTTAATTTTTTTTTCAACGTTTATTTATTTTTGGGACAGAGAGAGATAGAGCATGAACGGGGGAGGGGCAGAGAGAGAGGGAGACACAGAATCGGAAACAGGCTCCAGGCTCTGAGCCATCAGCCCAGAGCCCGACGCGGGGCTCGAACTCACGGAGCGCGAGATCGTGACCTGGCTGAAGTCGGATGCTTAACCGACTGCGCCACCCAGGCGCCCCAAGTGGGCCCTAATTCTAATGACAGGTGTCCTTATCAGAGAGACAGGGAAATTTGAGAGACATAACAGAAAGGCCATGTGAAGATGAAGGCTGAGACTGGAGTAATGTGGCTATAAACCAACGAACATCTGGAGCCACCAGAAACTGGAAGGGGAAAGGAAGGAATCTTTCTTAAAGCCTTTGGAGGGAGCACAGCTCTGCTAAAATCTTGATTTCAGACTTCTGGACTCCAGAATCGTGATAATACAATTTCTGTTGTTTTTAAGTCATGAAGTTTGTGGAAATTTGTTTGCTCAAGTTGTGGGTAACAGCATTCCAAGTTGGAGGGACATCAGCAAGAGTATTTGCAGTGAACCAGCTGAAAGGAACAGCGAATGCATTCAAGGAATGAGCTTCCTAGAAGGTACATAAAGCAACGAAAAAAGGTGTGATGAAGGGAGCATTTACAGGGACTTCACTCCCATCCTCTAGCCTTTCTCGCTACAAAGCAGAAGAGGATAAGCAAATCTATGAGATGCTGTGATCCTTGGGTGTCTGGGCACCTAAACTCCATCCAATCAGGCAAACTAAAGTAGGAGAGGGAGAAAAGTAGAAGTACAAAAGGATCTATTACTCTCTCAGAAATGTGTGATTTTTTTTTTATAGCAACTGTATTGGAATATAACATTTACTTAAATAAGCTGCATATATATAATATGTACAATTAGATAAGTGTTGGCATATGTGTGTATTTGTGAAACCATCACCCCAATCAAGATAATGAACATATCTGTCCCCCTCAAAAGTTTCCTCTGAACTTCATAGCCATTCCCTGAAACTCTTACACCTCCCATCTTCAAGCAATCATTGATCTGTAACTAAGGATTAGTTGGCATTTTGAAAAATTTCATGTAAGTTCAATCAAACAGTATGTACTCTTGTCTTTCAGGGCTTTTTCCCCCTTGGACACTACCACAACTGATCCAGTATTTTGAGGTTTCTCATTCAGCAGGGCTATTTAGAGATTCATCCACACTACTGTGTATTATCAACAGTTCATTCCTTTTATTGCCAAGTAGTATTCCATCGAATGGACACACCACAGTTTGTTTATCAATTTCCCTACTGACATTGGGTTGTTTCCAGT